CATCTAAAGAAGTGGCAGAATAAAAGTTGCAGCGGTCCAATGATTAGCTTTGGAGCGCGGACGTTAGGAAACGTGCGACTCGCGACTCGCGCGACTAAATCGCCTGGGTCGCGAAGCATGACGCTTCATTAGTATGTCCTATAGAAATGAACTGTGAATAAACTGAAACCGTCTCACTCTAGTAATTGCTTAATTAGTTGGAAATTACATCCATATCAACTAGTCACTCGTGATAGTTTTGGTAGTCCTGCTCGGTTCTGAATGGTGCTTCGCCCTGTGATCATTTCTGGTCAGCGCTTTCTCCTCCAGCAAGTGTCGTCGAAGTAGTATTGTATAGAAAGAGGTGACGTTCATTGTTCTACGTGGTTTCATTCATTGTTATCATTTCGAATTCGCTTTAACCCCCTGTTATGCCTGTTGTTTGTGCCAGCGACTGTGATTCCAGTGTTCTCCTCTATAAGCGTTGTGTTCTGTTCGATGTTCCGGTGATTAACTTCTATCTACTATGTAGTTGTCCCTCTTTGATAACCGGTTGCACACTGCAGGACTTCTTTTGATAGTGAAGGAGCGGTCCAACGGTCACGGGCGAAGTCGCGCTACAGCTATTCCCAAATCGCACAACTGAGTGACGGCAGCGTTCAGACTTCGCGATGACGCACGTGGACGCGTTACCGCTGCAACTGAGGCCAGGCTGGCAAGTGTCGCATACCCATCCCCTGACTGTTGACCGCAAGGTAAGTCTACTCGGGTTCAAAACTGGTTGTGAAAACAAACTCGTGTATGGCAGAAAATGACTTGCAAAATATGGATACAAACTATGAAGACGAAAAAAAATGGTCTTGACATGGTTCAAAAACACTTTTCATAGCGATATCTGAAATACTTAGACAGACCTCAACGACTGATCGTCATAAGGAGCGCCATATGTGAAGCAGAGAAATCCGCTCGTAATGCCGAGTAGTCCCAAAATTCACGAGAATCGTTCTGAATTACAACATATTTTCATACAGTCATCTTCTTCAAGACATGAAAAGGCGTCAGAATATCCAACTTGCGGCAGAGGCGTTGCAGCTAGGCGAACAAGCTACAACGCCTCTGCCAGAACTAGGCGTTGCAAGGAGACTGCACACTTGTTCGCTACGGCGCTGGAGCGCGTAAGGGGCGGGTAGGTTTGACGTGGCGCCAACATGTTCTCCATGTTCTCCAGCGAGTAAGTAAGCGACAACAATTCGTGAAAAACGGGCTGGTGCTGAGCCAAGTCCAGCCTCCCCAACACGTCTCAGCATCCGCAGCAAACAAGACTGCACATCATCGCGGATGGGTGAAATGACGGTGTCAATACGACCCTCCAGCAATTGAAAAAATTCCTCGCGAGGTCAATTACGACCCCCCCTTCCCCCCCCCCCTTCCTGACGGAATTCGTGCCACAACAGAGTAGCTGGCTGCGAATGATGGCACGCCCATGGCAATCGCACGAAGATCAAATCAAAATGTGGTAGTGTAGTATTCCGATTCTATTAGTTTTGAAAACTCCTAAGCGCAATTCCGCGACTGGGACACCCATTTATCAACAGGGTATTCGATATTCGCCAGACCACATGGGTTCTGCTTTAGAAAAGCGCTCAACAAGAGATTCTTGAACTATATTGCTGGTAATGTTGTTAAACTACTAAACTTACACCATCTCTAAGCAAAGTCATGGAGGCTTCCAACAGCTTTGGCGGCAGCTATCCTTACGCTCACATCTTCTGGGTCTCGCAGAAGCAGAACAAGACCTGAAATGTTGCATGTAACCACGAAACAATGCCTGTATCAGAAATCATCCAAATGAAAGCGAAAACTGACTAGAGAAGACTAGATCTTTGCTGATGATGGCCCGCAGTTGTGGTGTCAAAACTCCCAGCATATGACCAGTCAGAAGGGCTGCGTTCGCTCGGATACGTGCATTCGAACTTTTGAAGTAATTACTGCACGTCAACGCGTATTGATTTACTCGATCAGGAAATGATAACGCCTAAACATTCAGCTGAGAAAGAAGTTCGTAGAATAAAAAAAATTTTCAAAAAAAAATAGCATCTACCAGGTTACAGCAATACGATGTAATATAACAATTGCCGCTGTCTGTACAGCTCGCCCCACTCCCAAAAAACTACTAATCTGGCACGATCGCTCCCTATTCTACCTACGCAGTTCCTAAACTTTCCCAACCTCCTACCACTTTTACGGGAAATTTACCGATTTTTATCCAAAAAGTTGCCGGTTTTACCAAAAGTGCTGGGTGTATCCAGGGGTTTGGGTTTTCGGGACGCCAGCCTGCCATCCAGCAAAATTTGAAGTGTGCAAGCGTCAACAATTGGTGGGAAAGGAGCTGGCGCCGCGCCAAACCCAGTCCTTTGACTGGCCCCAGCATCTGCAGCAATATATCAATCAAAGGGTTCCTAAGAAGAAGTTTTGAACGGGTACTCCACCGGACAGCTGGGTGATCTGAGCTGGGATCCTTACGAGTAGCCCGTTTCGAGTAGCTTTCAGCAATAAACTGACCAAAACACTAGCCAGATCCCGTTGCACTGCCGTATAACTGGCCGGTAATCTGCCACCTTTCATTTCCCTTTCGACAACCGACGAAAAGGTTCCCACATTGAATAATGGGTGTACTTGATTGAATGTCGTACTACATGCCTGAAACGTACAAGATACCTTGAAGCCTAGAAATTAGCTTTATTCACGTACCTTTCTCACGTTTTCGTCCTCGTCGTTGAGATGCAGGAGAAGCGCGACGATGTTTGCGTGAAGATGTGACATAAATTCTTCGTTTTCACCACCAATACGAGCAGCCAACTCGCCAAAGAGGCTAAACGATGCTGCCCGTAATGGTGCCGATTCCTGAAATTGCAATTGAGCCATTGAGAGCTTCAATAGCTGGTCCCCACTGGACCATATGAACTGCTGGAGTCAAGTACTGAATATGAGTGAGACTGGAAGAGAAGACAAGCTCACCTTCTCAAAACATGGACGAATCTTCAGAAGAACCTGACGAAGTATCGAATGCAGCTGAGCGTCATTCGTCTTCGAGACGAGCTTGTTCAAAGCCACTATTGACTCCATTGCTACCTAAATAACGCACTGCCGTATGAAACCAAACTGAAAACTCTTTTATATTTCCATCCGTAACCAAGTACCGTATCATTTTTGTCTCCAAGGTCATCAAGGCCTCCCATTGCAGCTTCAACTGCAATGCTCGCGAACCGTTCTGCGATCGATTCCGATGAGCATTCGGATAGCTCACCCAAGCCACGGACGCATAGCTGAATAAAGAGGCAAATCAAAATAACGAGATCGTCTGCAAAAATGATGAAAAATGAATCATACGCTCACCTTTCGTATTCGCAAGCTCTGATCTGTGAGAGAATTCTCCAGCAACCGTACACTGTCAATAAGTAATTTCTCATTGAAGTCCCCATTGGAGTCCGGACATCTGAAATTGTGGTCACGTTCACAATATAGTAATGCTTACCGCTAGCCTTCGACACGCAGTACAGTGAATGTTGGGGCCAACAAATGCAAATATAACCGGCGGGAATATGGATATACCGATGGCGCAGCGAAAAAAAAAGATATTATTATAGGTAAGGTTAGGAAAACATGGAAGGTACAGTATTCTAAACTGCGCATGAGATTGAGTACGTGACAGCAACAAGTGCGCACAACGCTACTCTGTTTTCACCTAGGCAGCACAGGGCTACATTGCGAGAGCGGAATTCGCGTCACTCCCGCGTTCTTGGCTCAACACAAACGTAGACTGACTTGAAAGTTCTCACACAGTTGCCAAAACAATAAGCACGCAGGAAACCGGGTAGCGCCCCATAATCAACAAGCAATGTGCGGTAAGCCTACAGGAGGATCACCTTGACTTGGCAAAACCAGAACACTTACTTCTTCACAAGTGCTGAAGACACAATCACAGCTGCCAGGCGCATCGGTTCTCTTTCATGGCTTGACTTCTCCATCACACTTCTTGCTAGCGAATCAACCCATTCTGGTCGGTGCTCTACCAAAGAACGAACCAATACTGTAATCTGTAAGACAATTCTTTGTCATAGGTATCCAGTACTTGAAGAGTGATTAGTAATTATAACTGACGTGTGAAGGTACAGTTCGGCGACAGGGGGAGGGGTATTTTACTTTTGCTGAATCCCTACTTCCGGTCTACAATTTTACTCTGGTGAATTGTGACTTGTGAAGGAGCAAGCTGGTCCAGCGACCACGATAAGACTACAACACTTGCAAGCTCACGGAACGGCTGCCTAGATGGGTCGACGCATCGACAGGATGTAGCAAACGTGCAAAATACCCTTCGTCACCGAACTACCCCTATAAAAGAGTCAAGCGTTGAAAATACCAACCGCGCCTATGAATAACTCTCGGTCAAGGCATTCCGTCCATCCTCTCGCCTGATTCATATCCTCAATGACAGCTGTTGACATAGTTCTGGAAAGGCTGTTAGAAAGTCCAGATAAGAGTCATGGAAGGGTTCAAAGGCATGGGCACGATGGTTGGAGGCGGGCGGTTGTGGACATACTGGAGGAAATGCTAAGTGGGGGAGGGAAGGAGGGGGGGGGTGGCCAAATACCTTCTCGCTATCCTTCCACCAATAGCGCTGGTGACAAACGCCAGCCTCCAGCAATCATGCGTACCTTTGGCTGGCGGTATGGCGAGCGACTTGTGGACATTTCGCGTATTGGAATGCGGACGAGACATCAGTTGAATTCAAGCTATTCATTGGCATCAACTTCCGGCGATTTCTGAACGGGGGGGGGTAGGGGGGCAGGGAGCGCAACAGTTCTGCTAGAGCGGGCTTACCTCGCGCACGGAAAATTCAATTCTCAGGCAACTGCAGCTGTGCTACTATACCTGGATAACAGCGTCTTGAGCGCTGCCACAGCCAAACCTGCAGGTCTCTCAGCAGAACGTCTCAACTCAGGAGTTATAATGAGAGGCTGCTTCGATCCTTAATACAGCAAGCGTCAGACATAGAAAGCACAAAATGATTCTAAGAGTGTCAGAATCTCTCAACCGACCGTCCTTATTCTCCTTCACAACCACTGGAAACTGCGTATCCGAAACGCTACAAATCATGTGAAACATTGCGGCGATAAGCACCGGTACTCTCTCATATAATGTCCATTCTGGTTCTCCGTGCTGAAAGGAATACGTGAATTTCTCCAGTGCATAAAGCTTTAACTCGCAGGATTCTTCTGTTTCAGAATCATGATCAAACTGGGCAGCGCAGTTCGGCGGGGGGAGGAATTTTGCATTTTTTGCTCCTTCCCATCAACGTATCGAGTTCTCAAAAGGAGACCTGCGAAATTGTAAAAAGCCAAGAAGTTATACCAGCCAAATATTGTAGAGATGACCAGTCAAGTATTGTAAAAGAATGACTGCGACCTCTTGTAAAGCAATAAACACGACGATGGGAAGTAGCGAAAGCGCAAAATGCCTGCTCTATCCCCCATCGGAACTGCGCCAGTCGGGCAAATCTAGCTCAGGGCAGTCTGAGAACCCTGTAAGAGATCTAAGTTTCCTATATGAATACACGTCGACCTACCTTGATAACTTCCGTAATAGCAGCTGTATACTGGCACGGTTCTACGTGAACTATCTTCACAGAGCTACCGCCTCCAGTATCCATAACGTCATACGGATGTTCCAGCGCGCCTGTTAGCAGTTCCAGAAGATAATCAAGAGTGTTTACGAACAATGACCGTTCTCTGGACAAGCACTCCCATGCATCCAAAAGCTGCCTGTAAACAAAGAAGCTGATTATGCTTAAACATATACAGACAAGATGGAAAAATGAGGTGTTCAACAACAGGTGAACACTGCAAAGTATCGTACCTTAGGTGCACCTACTATTCGTGCCTATTCAGCATGGCTGCAAGTCCACCCATTAAACGAAATTCAAATGAGAGCAAGAATTCACTTAGTAAAAGTAGGGGAGGGGCGAGGGGGAAATAACCATTCTTTGCGGACTCTCCCTGAACTTGCACGTATCCTGACCCTGACCAACGAATGCTCACGCACAAGATCACAGAAAACAGGCGCTGTTTGTTAACGGGGGCATTGTTGTACTACCATTGCTTCCCTAGTTCCGGTTTACAAATCTCGCTCTGTAAAACTAGTGAACGATGGAGCAATAGAGCGTCTGCGCTAACCTATCCTTAAAACGTGTCACTCGAAAAAGGCTACCTAGCGGGCTCCACGATCTATGGAAAGCGCGCCGCCAAAGAAACATTCCTTTCAGGCTGAAGCCAGAACCTTAGTAAACTTTCAAGCTACCAATTAAAGTATAATAACTAACACAGAATACGGCAGCGGTTGGCGTAACATCACATCACACACGACCGTTTGTTGATGAGTGGCAAATGCAACAAGCGCTGCCATCAAGTCGGTGTAGGTTTGCACACAGGAATGCACTTCTGGTAATCGAGCGAGTATTGTTGTCACCAATGTATCAGCCTGAAAAAGGAAGTAATCGCCCTGAAAATTGCTGCAGGTGAACCAAAAAAAAGGCAACCTCGTGGACAAGAACCGCTCCACGACACGTCAGGGCATATGTGAGCAACTGAGCGGCAGCTGACGAGACCTGAATGTTCAAATGTGCTTCCTGTTTGCAGTATGGTTGGTGAAGTAGCTTCTACGATGGTCCGATGCACATTAGTCTCACGCAAGAAATATTCAAGCGAAGCTGGTCTCTAATAACCTGATGCTGGTCTGAAACTGTTACGCTTGAACAAACGAGGGGAGGCTGTGGGTAAGAATTGCACCCTAGCCTTAAAAAACTCACCTTTGGGAAAAAAATTGCTCAAATCCTCCTAGAAGAAATTCCTAGCAGTTGTTGACTTTTCACAAGCGCTATATATCCCCTCCCGCTCGACAACAAGTTTTGGGTAAAAACTATAAAGTTCCGGAAAGTTTTAAGAAAATGGATCTAAAATGGATAGTTTGTTGTGAGGGGGGAGTGGGGAGGACCGTGTTTTCCGAAGCTCTCTAAAGAAGGTAACTGACACCGATCAGGGTCATACCCTTCAAAACTGCTACGCTCGTTGTAACTACAGCAAGACCATGGACCGCGCTCTGTCAAAACCTACAAAATGTGAGTAAACGTACCTGACTCTGACGATCTGTCAACATCTCGAATAGCGCTGACAGATAGGTCTGCATCTGGCATTGTGGTAAGCGCGACTCTATTACCTTAACCAGCAGCTCAAGGTCATGAAGCCAGTAAACGGGGAAAAACCATTTCAGGAATGTTCCACTCACCTCCGCCATTTTCCTTATTGCTTTCTTAGCATCATTAACATCGAGACGACCTTCATTATTCAGATACGTCCGGGCAAATTCATCAATTCTGAACAGTGTGGAATCTGTGAGCGTGCCATGGCCCTAAATATACGGTATTCAGTCGCTTAACGACTTTGTCTGTTCTGCTCATATCGCATACCTTATACGCATTAGCAAGACGAAATGCGTAATGAATAGCCACAAGAGACTGATGACGTACAAGCGCCAACGAATCAACCAAACGAGGAGTAAGTCGGGCTAACAACGATGACAACGGTCCAAAATCACTCGCTATCTGAAAATCGTGATTCGAACATCGTTATCTCCTCCGGAACACTGCAGCAGCGTTCAGCTTTCGCGATTGACGCGCATCGACGCGCTACCATTGCAACACCGCTCCAGTACCATAGACATATACGCTGCCAAAGACGGGTGTTTTTTGAGGCGCACCACTAGTGTTTCGGGAGAGTATGGAAACATAGGAGGGTGCCAGATACAAGATAGGGCAATTCGCACTCTTCTGTTCCTCCACGCTTACCCAAAACAATGAAGTCGGTGCAGATCGAGCCCGTTTGGACGCCATTTCGGTCAATAGCGCTTAAGCGCTGATGCAATGGTAGCGGGTTGACGCGCGTCGCGTGACGAAGTCTGAACTCTGCCTACCAAAACACTCACTCCTATGCTTATATCCTCAGCTCTGTCCAGATACACACGTAAAACTTGTACAGTGGCATCTATCGACCTGCTACGTTCATGTTCAGCCAGTTTTCCGTAATAAGGCAGCAGCATCTGGAAGTACATCCATTTCACTTCATATCCCAGAGACAGAGGGGCGGATGCGTATTCATTCAAATGTGACAGCAGCTGGTGGGATAATACAGCTCTGGGACATTGTGAACAATTCTCTGTCCACCACCAGACAGCAAGACAATTGTCTTAAACAAAAATATCCCACGAAACACATCCTACACTGACTTCAAGCGGAGTATGCAGCCACGCCCTCCACAGTTCTGGGATATGTGGGTGCATATTGTAGAACAGCAGTTACTAATAACACCAATCCAACGAACCTTCAGCAGCTGTGTAACTGTACCAACGGTCGGTCGCATTTCGACTATCGCTTCCAGTGCGTTTCCGTATTGCGCCACCGTAGCATCCATAATTGTCGCGGATTCGTCATCATCAATCTTAACTTGCAGATTTATTCAACAATCACTCCTAACGGGTTCCAGCTGGGAACTTAAGAGAAGCGCTAAACTTCTACCATCACCAACCACGAACCGCTGTAGAAAGTCAACTGTACTAGAAGCGCTACTAAGGGGGCAGGCTGTCATCATATTACATTTGAAAATATCAACGACCGATAAGTTTTTTTTTCAAAATTTCCCAGTTTCAACACTTTCAGATAAATGTCCTTGTTCCACTTCGTGGATGCAGAAATCATACCACCTTTGAATAATCAGTTCTTCTTTTCTTTTGTCAATTATAATTCTTATTTCTTTTTTTAGTTATATTTCATTGACGTGAAGAAAGTTCGAAAGGGAAGAAAAGATCCTCATTTCGATACACAGAATTCATTGCATCCTTAGTATTCCAAAAAAAGTTTTCCCTCGGGCAGGGACAGGTCAGTTAGGGGAGAGACAGTCTGCTCATGAGGTGCACCATCAAAGAACTTGACTTCGCACAGGATGACGAAGCACAAGATCCTTCTTCTTCCCTCAAGCGGTAGCCCCGCGCCCACGCAGGGCCTTGTTAGGCATCGCCCCTTGTTGCAATCTATGAAGACGGAATTCCGTGAGAAAATGTCAGGGAGTCTGTCCGGCAGCGACTGAATAATTTGAAGAATTAAGTGGGATGCGAAGCCGGCAGCTGCAAAAGCCATAGTGAAAGAAATGCAAGAAGCTCCTGCGCCGGTAAGCAAATTCTAGTGGCTATTTGGGGATTTTCAAAAAATGAGCTATGTTAAGGAGAAGAAAGAACAGTGCAGAAGCTCTAAAGAAGCAAGCAACTTAAAGGGTAGAGGAAACATGGTAGAGAAGTGTTTAAAACAGCATACCTTCTTTGTACTGGCACGGCTACTAGACGACGTAAACGATGAAATCGACGTCGATGCGTAGTCGAACAAGTCATAGGCCAACTAAAACGAAAGGCCGAAGATAGGTGAATAGGCAAAGCTTTTTTAATAGTCAGACTTTGCGACAGCTTTCACTATTACAGAAAGAAAAAATGAATGAATGAACTGATCTGAGAGCTGTGACAAAACCTAAGGTGAGTGAAAGGGAGTTGGGGAACGAAAAGAAATGCACACCAATGCACCTAGCAATTGCACAGCAAGACATCTCTACAACGGATACAACGTGTCTCTTTGGTAAAACCTATGAAATTCTACCGATTACAGCTCACTATAACAGCATAAGAGCGGCTCTGCGTCAGTGTTCTGAGCGTACGGCACGTTTGAAGCGTTCTGAGCATTTACGACAGAATATGTATCGATCCCGCGTACGCGAGCGTTCTTGAGGTACGTCTGTTGAGCTTTTCACAGCAGTCGCGTCGAACGCGCCGTACGCTCGCAACGCTCGAAACACCAGCGTACAAATCCTTATGCAAAGTATGAACGTAGCCCGAAAGTTAGGGCCACACTCACCGTTTTCAGTCCGCTCTTCTCACGACACATGGGCAAAATATACTGCGTCAATACACAACCCAAATCCCAAACATCATCGTCACTCAGAGCAGGTTCGAGGCGTCTGGAAATAGGTGCGATATGTCCGTGAGCTTCACGGTAGGAGCAATAGCACTAGAAGCAAGATAATCCATGACTCACACAAGAGCCGCAGTAGCTTTTGCCGCCAGGAGCCGGAGAGAGCTAGACAGCATTTCAGGTGTCTCGCTTTGCACGTAATCCTGAAATCCAGAACAACATTAGCAAAATATGGGTACGGTCTAGCAAAAATTTGAAAAAGAGCGAATTAAGTGAAATGACGTTATTCGCTTTTGGGTTCACCACAAGGAAAAGAGACATAAACTATAATAAAAAAAAAGAAATAAAATCTTCATTGCGAGCAGAAAGGAAAAGTATTTCTAAATGAGGAGATTTAATCAAATGAGGTTCTCGCTCACCTTGATATATCCAATCAATTCATTTCGAGCATCAAATCTGTAGTCTCCAGGTAGTCTTGATGGATGTATGGAAATGGCTATTAGCCGCATGGTTTCAAGCATCGCCTCACGAACAACAGTTTCTTGCTGAAATGGGAGCAATAAGGATACTGTTAGGAATGTTGTGCTATGCAGTCATCTAATCTCCGAATAAATTATATCGAGGCGAGAGTGCTGTAGTGGCAAGGGTTCTGCTTACCACGTGTGCCCCCCATTGGATCCAATACCGGACTAACTTCCGGC